TAGAGGCCTAATGAAAGAAATATCAATATAATTTCATTTAGTTGTCTAACATAACATCTTATTTTCATTTCTTATTCCTATTTTTTTTAATTTTTTTATTAAACCCTTATGCTTTGAAAGTATGATGCTATTATGGATAAAACTTTATCCGTAATTAAAACTCAAAAGTAAAGTATATTGCTATTATTTGTACATTCCCCTAAGTGAGTTGTTTGATTGTGAACCAGGCACCATAGTTAAAGTATCATCAACCAACAATGAAGTTGCCCATGATCCTTATGGAAGGAAAGCTAAACATATCACCAACCTACAATGAAATTTCCTGGGATCGGGATCCGTAAAATTGGAGAATTCACATTAGTTGAGGATGCATATAAAAGTTTTGTTCCATGGCCAAAATACCTTGTGCAAACCGAGTCAAAGGTTTGTTTAATTATGTTCACTACTTTGTGCATTACGCTTTATTTTCTTCATAAAATAGTATACTAAGTTTTTGATGACCTCATTTTTTTTGTTTCAATGTTGTTATAGGTACCAGAAATTATATCACATCAAGAACATCAACATCAAAACTCAAAGAAAAGAAAACCAACTTACATATAATCTGATGCTCTTCTCAAGAAGACAAGGAGCAATACAAATAAGATGAATGCCTAGTTATGTTTAGGTTTTGGTTTATGATGTGTTTGACTTTTTTACCATTATTTAAATTCTTGAAATTAGGACAATTTTTTTTGGTATTTTAATTAGGAATTTAATGTATGGATTTGGATTTCAATTATTACTAATATCAAATTATGAATTTTGCTTTTGTTTCATATTGTTGGGTTTGGTTACTTTAATTTAATTTTTTTAGACGTGTCTACAATGTAGAAAAAGTAACAATAAATATTAAATTAAAGTGGCTTGAATATAAATTTGGCCATGTTTTATAGGTTTTCAATGTCTCTAAAATTATACAATGGTTACTTCACATCATTTTTTAACGTGTGGCTAAATGGTTAACAATAGCCATAATATACAAGAATTATGAGTCTACAGTTGTTTTAAAATGATGTTTATTCTAAAGTTTTTGTGACTAAGTTAAACAATAACAACATAAAAAACAATTTATGTGGCAAATAAATACCATAATTGATTGTTGTTGAGACTAAATACTAGCAAATCGTCACTTACATCATTAATTATATGTGTCCATTTACCGAACATGGACATGTTCACCGTAATTATATGTGTCTAAAATATACCCAATAGTCTTGATACGATACCGAATAGTACTTAATTTTAACAAAATATGTGTCTTTATAATACTTATGATTGTATTTCACTTAATTGTGTGTCTCTATACGATAGGCTATAGTCACAAAATTTGATTATTGTTTGTGACTAATTATTAGCAATTCGCCACTTATGGAATTAATTACATGTGGCCATTTAGCGAACATGGTCATGTTCACCGGAATTACATGTTTACAAAAGATACACAATAGTCTTAATAAAATTTAAATTGTGTGACAATATAAAAGAAAACAACTATACTAAAACATCATGAATGTCGCAAGTTGGTGATAAATACAGTCACCACATTTACTAAATAAATGTGTCTACTGATGGTTTAACGCTACAATATTGGATATTTAAGGAACAAAATTCCATACACATTTGTCACACTTTTATAATACGGCCACATGTTTTCATATCATACGGACACTACATTTTAAAGTGACCATAAGACCCATACGATGGCGTCACCTTCCGTCACACTTTCAGTGAAAAAATAAAATGTCACTATATGCATATGGTCACACATTTTTGGTGTGACTGTAAGTCATTTTTCTTGTAGTGTATTTTTTCCAAATCATTTATGAAGCTGCAATTGAAGAAGGAAAAACATTTCTTGAACCAGCCACAGATGCCCTCTCATTGGTTTTTGAGCAAGTTCATGGTGAATTTGTAAGAAGGGTTAGCAGGGAAGTCACTCCAACCAGATATTAGGATCTGCCTCGAGCCAGATCCTCATCAAAAGAAACACTTGCTTTCCTTCTACAAAGCCTACAGGAGAAAATAAGAACAAATCAAGAGCTGAGGTGCAAAGTTGAGTATATGATGAGGTTGACTCCTCCCATCGTTAATCATGCAGGATCTCCAATAACTACTACTAAGCCTACAAAAAAGGCTCCTATAGAAAAAGTAAGTAAGTGAATTTTTTATGATAGTTTTAATACAATGGTTTGCTAGTTAATGCTTTCATGGCATATTGTCATCCCAAAAAAGTAAAAACAATTATGTATATTCAACATGTTTTATACACTTCTTTTCCAATATTTTTAACTATCTTTCGTAGACTAACATGGTAAACTATTTTCAAGAAAGTCTGAATGACGGTGAAGAAAATGTTACATCTACGTGTGAGGAGCCACAAGCTGGGAATTCAAGTGAAAAAAGGATATCAGCACCTCAACCCAGGACACTACAGCAACTGAAAAAAAAATATATTCGACATGTTTACAAAGATATACATGTCAGTTAATTAAACTTATGGCTTTATACGTTTATTAATAATATGTGCATCTATATGTAGAGAATAAAATGTTCACTGTCAACGTGTGAACGTAGCAACGTCGTTGCGAAGGTTCATGTCATGTATTCTATCGATGAAAATTAGAACATACATGGAAAGCCATTGAGGGCTGATTACTATAGAGTTTCTGTAGATGAAGCAATAAAGCCATCCGCTTGCGTACCAAACGGAGAGAAATGCTCGTCCACAGTTAATGATGCAATACGTTCTTTTGTGGCTTGGGAAAATAATATTGCAACCCTTTATCCTAAGGTACCTTATTTGCATAAGTTATATTAATATTTATATTCATTAATTAAACCTTATGATATTTTTAAAATGATTCTATTAGTTAATTACATACACCAATTGTGCATGTCTGCTTCAATTCATGTTTAACACCTATTTTAATTTATGTTGTTATAGGGTCCGGATATACATGTAGTTGAAGAAAATAATGAAATACAAAAACCCAAGAAAATACAGCCCAAGAAAAAGCAGCCCATGAATTATTGTCCGTTAAACATGCTAAGGAGTGCAACACCTATTTTAATTTAAGTAGACTTTAGTTTATCATCTTATTTATGTTTTTGATGTAATAAATTTTTAATTATTATTATTAAAAATTAGTTTTTTATTACATTATATTTTATATTTCCATTGTCGCGCATCATAGTAATGAAAGGTGGCCAATATATGTGTAATTAAATTAAAAAAAAACCATTCTGCAATATAAATAATAAGAAACATATTGTGAAGGGTTAAACATGTCGGTGCATGTGAACAATAGTAATGACAAACGATTAAACATTTTAGAAAAGATAACTTATCCTTACAGCTTAATTACACTTGTGTCTCCAAAAGTCAACATTGGCCGCGATAATCACCGTAAGTAAACATTTATCACTCTATATGGAAAAACACATCAGTATAAGTATTTTATGCTCACCGTTTAATTGCTTGTGAGTGAGTAAATGTTCACAATATTCACGATAAAATATTAAACATGTCACTAAAAGTGATCAATAATCATAATAAAAGAAATAACATGTTAGATAGATCATTTTTGGTGAAGTCTTAAACTTTTATTTGTTGGTTTATGTAAACATTAGTAATGATAAACGATTAAACATGTTAAGAAAGATAACTTATCTTTACAACTTAATTACATTTGTGTCTCCAAAAGACAACAAAGGCCGCGATAATATTTATAAACGGTCACCGTTAGTAAACATTTATCACTCGATATGAAAAAACACATCACTATAAGTATTTTATGATCATCGTTTAATTGCTTGTGAGTGAGTAAACGTTCACAATATTCATGATATAATATTAAACATGTCAGTAAAAGTGATCATTAATCATAATAAAAGAATTTACATGTTATTATAGATCATTTTTGGTGATGTCTTAAACTTTTATTTGTCGGTGTATAGAACAATAGTAATGATAAACGATTAAACATGTTAGGAAATATAGCTTATCCTTACAGCTTAATTACATTTGTGTCTCCAAAAGACAACAATGGCCATGATAATATTTATAAATTGTCACCGTAAGTAAACGTTTATCACTCGATATGAAAAAACACATCACTATAAGTGTATTACTTATGACGGTTCAAAATAAGATAGATATATCTCCAAAAACAACCTACCATATAATGACAGATTTGACCTATAATAACGGGTTTTCATAGGTTATATTCATCACAATTGAACGAAAACATAATTTATCTTCAATGACGCGACCTTTCCTCTCATGTTCTTAAAAAAACCCGACATAGTGTGTCTATAATGACGGGTTTTTTACATGGATATAGCCTAGTTTTGTACTAGTGTTATTTAATTAATATTTTAATTGAAAATAATTATTTAATCCCTAAATAATTTAAATAAATTTAATTAAGAGTTTAATTAAAAGATAAATATTAAATCATAATTGGTTTAAATTTAATTAATTAAAAGTTTAAGAATTAATTTTAAACCTTGTATGTTGAAAAGTTTTAAAATACACCTTATATATATATATATATATATATATATATATATATATATATATATATAGAGCTACGTTCATTTGTTTAAACTAATTATTGTGTTATTGTATGCATAATTGTGGACCAATCAATTTAAAAACTTAGATAGGGGTAAAATTGTAATCTTAGCTTTTAATTAATTTTAGTAATTTATTATTCAAATCATAAACCCTTTAATGTAGGCAAAATCGTTTACATTTACCGCTTTAAAACCCTAGATAGATTCCTGCTCGTACACACTCCTCGTACACAGTCAATATTATCAATCACCAAATCCCAAAATTGCTCCAACCTCCAGGAATTAAGTGAAGTTGTGGCGCCATTAGTTGTTCGGTGGTGGATCGATGGAGTATCCATCGTCATATCAAACAGAAAATCTTCTTCATTGAAATCGAAGCCATGTCTTGCAGAAGCTTGAATCTGCTAATAAACCCTTTCTCTCGTCGGAGCACATGCATGATAACCCCTGTCTTCTCCTATAAGGCACAATGCCCTAAAGTCGCGCCTCCATCGATTCGATCCGATGGCCAGAGCCGGAGACATCTATTGTTTCTTATGACGTCAACAATGGCAATTACGGCAATGGAGATACCGTCGATGGCAGAGGACACAGGGCTATTTCGGATTGGGGAAGAAGCTAAAGAAGGCAGAGGAAGAAGCGCTGGAGATCGCGAAGGAAGGAATTGAGTCAGCTGAGAAAGGAGTCGAAACGGAAGAGAGACAGATCGAGGCTACGTCGATGGTTAATGGAATATTAGGGCCTGAAAGTTAATTTTGAAATTCTGATCGATTACTATCACAGATTAACAGGTAATCATTAATCAAACTTTGATTTCTGATTGTTGTTTGTTAATCAGTTGTTTGAATTGAATTGTATATCTGTTGATCGTGTTTGTTTCTTAAGGTAGTTTGGTGATGAATAGATGATCAAATCATCAACAACATTTGTTTTCATTTTTCTATTAAAGAATTTACGATTATGTAGTGATATATGGAAAGGGTTTGTAGAAATCTTAAAGAAAACAAAAATAATTCTATGAGAATATTGCACACCAGGTGTTTGTAGAAATATTTGAAAGAGAACTTGATGTTCAAATTCCTGAAGAACACAAAAATAATTTATAAGTTCGTTATTTGTGTTACTTGATTTTATCATGTTGTATGAGTTTTCTTAGAATTACTAAAATTTGTTTTATTTTTATCGTATAAAAGCATTCTCACATAGTTTTATTCTTACATAATTCATTTTCATGACAGTTATTCTCATAGAATGAATGAAGTACATGATGATCAATGACCCGAAGGTTGGATGAATGCGTGTGGGATAGACATGAACAATCCTCAATGGTCACCGATCTTCCAGAAAAATGCACTACTCATTGTCATATTCTGTTAGATTAATCTATAATAGAATGATAAGAGTATATATGTAATAGTATATTCTAATAGAATAATTTACATATTATATTTGTTTGTTATTAGCGAGTGTTTCATTATTATAGAATAAAATATAAATTTTTTTATTTTTTCAAGGATGTGATTGAAAAAATTTAACTTGTATCTAAAAATTTGTTTATTCTGCGAGAAGTAAGTCTCTTTATTAGTTTATGACTTGCATTTTCATAGAATATCATTATAAAAAGAATGTCATTCTGACAGAATAAAATCGGGTTTAATTATAAAAATTACGGTATAATTAAAATTAAAGTAATTAAAAAAATTAGAATTTTAAAATCAAGAGAGTTAATTATCCCAAAAAATATGGAATTTTCCTTTTTTAAATTTATCTCAATTGTCTAAAATACCCTTAGAATGAAATTAGATGATATTTTTCAATTATCTTTAATTTAATAATATGTATTAATCATTTTCTTAAAATAAGTAAAATGATTGGCCCACATTTATGCATACAATAACACAATAATTACTTTGAATAGAATAACCTAAGCCTATATATATATATATATATATATATATATATATATATATATATATATACATATAATGTTAATTACTATATGTATAAGAAAAAATATGTTGAATCACTACTAAGCCTCATTCACATAGCCATACCCTAAAGAGGGTATATCTAAAATGACCGTTGAATGGGTGTGTATTTCACCCACCGCTCTCCTGTTTGGGGGTGGGTCGTTAGGTGAACGGGTTCGATAGGACATAATCAAGATTAAAAGTATAATCTATAAAGTACTAGAACCTTCTTTTAGAATCTCACTCTAGTTTTTTAGGAAAAATGTGAAATGTATGCCAATCCAACAAAACACACATCATTTATTTCTGAGTTGTTAGTGGAGTGTGTATGGTTAACTGACACACTAATGTGGGACTATGAAGACGGAATGATGAAACAACTCATGTTTATAATTGTTGATGGAGCGTGTGTGGTTAACCGGTACATAATTGGAGATTATAAATCTATCGAGTGTGTTTTAGTGGGTTTGCATGGTTATTCACATCTTAATAGTGATCATTGGCATCCTAGTCACAATTGGTAAGAGCATAATCCGAGATTAAATATGCCATTGACGTTTCAAGGAAATCTCAAAAGATCTAGGAGTTTCATATGATTAAAATTGGTAAATGTTTCTACCTACCTAAAATAGTTTTATGATATGAGTACGACATTCCTCTTCATATTACGAAATGAAAATATGGATCCTAGCCTTAATTTAATTTATCGGTTAATAATTGAGGATTAAAATCAACTAACTTGAATTCTCTCTTATCCCAACTTTAGATGTCTTATGAAGATATAAATGGTCTTCCTCGTTCTTATGGAAATGGTTTTCCTCAATCTTCTGGAGATGGTCTTCCACATTTGAGTTAAGGTGAAATTGTTTTCTCTTACTCAGGAAATGGTGGAATTGAACATCGTCCTCCTTCAACTCTTCCACTTTTTTCCTCGAGTTGAGAGATATGAAACAACTCAAGCCCTATTGGCATGTAAACACGAAAATGGAAATTATATGTGTGTGCATGTTCTGAATATGAAATTGTACATTGAAAAATTGGAAAGAATGGGTATCATATTCCCGAAGGAGCAAGCCATTGATTTAGTTCTTATCTCGCTTCCTAAGTCATATGGTCAGTTTGTTGAGAACTTTTGTATGAGGAATTTCGATGTGACCCTAATTGATTTGACCCAAATGTTGGTAGTTGCTGAAGCAGAAATGCTTAAGGACACAACTAAAGCAGCAATCCTTATAAGGTCTAATCCCAAGGTTTCCATGGACATTAACAATGGTAACATTTGTGATAAAGAAAAAGTTTGTCTTCCCAATCCAAAGGGATCAGCCAAGGTCAAATCGTTTGATCGTATGGTAAAGAGAAAGGCTCATTCTGAGATCATTCCATATGTTGACCCCAATGAATCCATTTGTTTCTACTGCCAATTGAAGTGACATTGGAAGCGAAACTGCCCAAAATAATTGAATAATCTTGAAGATGGTAAAGTCAATTCGTGTGACTCTACTTCAGGTACATCCATTATCTAACTCCATTATAAGTTCCTATTCATATACTCTTAATACATTATGCGATGATCACATATTGATGGTATTGCAGGATCCAAAAGAAAGAAGGAAGCTTAAGTAAAAGTGAACTAAATCTTATAAAGGGAAATGGACTTTTGTCGCATGGTTCGATGGTCAGAATTTAGAGCTACTACCGAGGAGTTAGGATAGTTTTAATAGATTGTTATTACTCTTCGGAGATGTCTAGAAATATAGTTTTGCATTTTATGCATTGTAAGGACAAGTTCTAATTTTCTTTTTAGTAATAAAATGATGTTTTGGTTTATGAAGTTGCCTTATTTGTATTTCCTTGCAATGACATTTATGACAGTGTTGGTTATGTTTCTAATATTAACAATATTAATAATGGATTTGATTCTTCTAGGACGTGCTTGTGGTACTGTCATAATTGACCAAGTGAAAAGAAATCTCATCAGCAAGTTTCAATTGGACAATAACTCGGAGTCATACAATTTGAATCGCACGATGCATGAAAATCTTTTTCATTGGAAAATTATGAATAATTCGTTGTTCACATGTTTATGTTGTCACACCCCCAAACCGGAACGACAGAAACGTTCGGGGGTGGAGGACGTCATATGTAGTATCACAACAATTGTATCATAGTAATCAAAGTTAACACAACCATTACATGGAATATATAAAAGGTATTTACATTTGTTTGGTTTATATTTATATAGATCAAAAGTAGCAAAATATAAAGACGTGATTCTATACGCTCCGTCTTCTCAAAGCCTGTTGGAGTACCTGTCTACTGATTTCCTGAGAATACAAGCGGTTTTGAAAAGAGTATCAAAATTAAGCTAATGAGTTCATAAGCATGTTTTTGTAATGAAAACCTATTAATGAATTAGTGAACAGGTTTGTATGTTTCCAAGAAAATCCAATATTTTCTAACATATAATTTTGTTACAATGTTCCATAAAGTATTAGTTTCGAAAGCCTGATTACCACCTGATGAATTATATAATACCGTTTTGAATGTAAAACCCCCTTATGTATGAAAACCCTCGCTATCACCAGTATGTATAGAATGTTCTATTGGAAAACCCTGGTTATCACCAGTATGTTAAGTAGCTTCATTACTTAAAATAAAACCATGTATTTTATCCCCCGGAATCCTCCAGTGTAAAGTATAGCAGTTCTATTAATAAAAATAAAACTAATGAAGAATGAAATCTTGTAAAACAAAGGTTACTTTATACTATTGTGAGTCGTATAACCATGCTTGATATGACTGATGACCTCTACGACGTTCTTCAGGAGTCGGACGGTATGATATTTGTCACCCCATGCATGCCTGCCTAACTGTAGCTAGCAGTTTAGGTGTGGGATTGTCAGTCTCGAATAGATCTATTTACAAATATCATGCTCTCCCTCCAGGAGACTCTGATTACACTAAAATGATAGGATTTAATCTGTACCCCGAAAGGTACAAACGAAGAGTTTTCTCACAATCCTATATTAACTAGTTTAAATATAGTTATGTATTGTTCTATTGTATTTAAATCCGTTTGTATACTTTATAGAGTAATAACTATACTTAAATAATTTTTTAGTAAAGTACTCTTGTTTCCCGAGAATATCATAAACTAAGTCTGTCATAGTTTATATGCCTTTAAGTGTAAAACCGTGTATTGAAATCCCAAACTATACCGATTATAGTTTGTAGGTAGGTTATGCACTTGGTTTGTGTATTGATCAGAAAACTATGTGATTATGCTTATAAGTTGAAAACGTCCCTTATGCGCAACATGTTACAAAAGGGATAAAATATCTAAATATTTTATAAAATGTGGAAACCGTATGGTTGTATTAATTGCATCAGTTTTAAGTGTGTTGAAATCCTTTTTGTATAAATCCACAAAATCATTTGTGTTTGGCTTGTATTCTCCCATGAAAACGTTAAAATGATAAAAGCATAGGGGTATGAGCTCACTGTTAGTTGCGTGAAAGTGTCGGACAACGAAACTGGAAATGAAGACCCGAGGGTTGATGTACGCGACACTTAACGGGATCCTAATAATAGTTAAATACATATATGCATTCTGTTAGCGAAACCATTAATTATAGTGTTGGAAAAACACTAGCTTTTGGTTAGGAATGTTACCGGGACTCGATTGAATTGGAAAAAGT